ACCCGTGTTCCGGTACCGCGCTGTGTATTGATTACATTTCGTCGTGTAATTGCCGCCATGTCTTCTCAGCCGGTTCAAACTAATCCGACTAATAAGCGCTCGCTCTGCGATGGTCTGGAGGGCAAGTACTCCCTGTCCCTTCACATCGTTTCTATCATCATTGTTTTCGTCGTCTCTCTTCTGGGAACGGTCACGCCACTCGTCACGAAGTACATTCCCTTTCTTCGCGAGAATCCTTTTGTTTTTGTAATTGCTAAGACGATGGCGACGGGCGTGTTGCTGTCTGTTTCCACCATTCACCTGATTGGTGATGCCACTGACGCACTTAAGGAGCCATGCATACCCAGGAGCCTTTACGATTTCTACGAACCATACGGTTTCTTTTTGGTTGTATTGGCAGCCCTGATGATGCACGCCGTGGACTTCAAGCTGGGTGACATAGCCCAGGATTGGTTGAAGAAGCAGCAAGGGGCGCATGCCCCCAAGGGTGAAGAGGGGAGTGAGCCCCAAGTAGAGGATGAAAAATTGAGCACGAAAAGCGAAACTCGCGATGCTGACGGCGAGCACAACCACGATGTCGAGGAGGATTCACCGGAGTGTGGGCACAGCCATGGCGGTGTGCTTCCGCCGCCCTCGATGGGTCAACTTCGACGGATTATTGCGGCCGTGTCAATGGAGTTCGGTGTCACCCTCCACAGCATCTTCGTTGGCCTGGACATGGGCCTCACGACGGACGCCTCGCTGAAGCCGCTGCTCGTGGCCTTGGTGTTCCATCAGCTGTTCGAGGGCATGGCGCTTGGCTCGCGTCTGGTGGATGCCAAGTTTTCACTCATACTGGACCTAGTGCTGGCGGTTACGTTCTCCGTGAGTGCACCTCTCGGGATGTCCATTTCAACCATCGCGGTGAGCATTCGGAAAGACGCCATGGCGGGTGGTGGGTTCGCGCTGATGCTGGGATCTCTCAGCAGCTTCTGTGGCGGCATTTTGCTTTACCTAGCCTTCAATCTGCTTTTCTCGGACTTCGCGAGTGAAATGAAGGCGCACTGCTCTGACGGTATGCCCAGGAGGACTGCCAAGAAGGTCACGATGTTCGTGTTCCTGTGGTTGGGCATGCTGACAATGGCGATAATCGGCAAATGGCTATAATCGGCTTTCGATTTCTACCTTCGCTTGTTGGAGTTTCCCTCCCAAATAACTGAAATAGTTTATTTTAATAGAGTTAACACGCTCACCTTGCTTCTTTCTGCGGATCGAGTTGATGTAAGTCGTCTATAAGCTCTTTTCATAATATGTGTTCCGTGGCAGTACTTCCTGCTGTCCCTGGCAATGTCTT